AGCAGTCTGTTTCGAATCCAAAAAATTGGGGAATAAAGACAAATTTAATTTCATTCAAGTTTAAATTCGAAAGTAAAATATGGAAGGCTTTTACCTTTGCTCTTTACTATACTTCCGTATAGTTGAGTATATTAGGGTAGTAGGCAATGCCTTTGAAGACCATATTGCATACTGCATGCAAATATTGGCAACATAAAAATACATAAAATTAATATGTTACTATAAAATAGTATAAAGTATCTGAAGTATCTAATATCTTATGTAATTGATAAGCAGACGTATACACTCAGCTACCTTCATCATTCCTTTTGCATTCAGGAGAATTATGTGGTCATTGCAGACTATGGATGCGGAGGTTCTGTTAGTGCTGCATGTAGGCCCGGTTTGTGGTGATGCTTGACAGAAAGAGGAGTAAAGATGCGATTTAATCGTGGTTTATACGCAGTGTTTGCCCATTGCCTCCCTGCATGCCATCGTGTACAATTTCAGCTGCCTCACAGTCTGGGTTGATTGGTGCATTTCGGATTTGAGTATTAGTAACAGCACCATTATCATTCAGCTGCACTTCCAGTTATATACGTAGCAGTATCAGTCTCAATCTCCTTGGGTCTGTGTTGACATTTACTGAGGGTGTGTGAGGGTGGGTAGTGTGGTAGTGCCAGCGCAAAATTATGCTGCCATTTAAGTCTAATCCACACGGTGTTCTGCGCTGCGTTGGAGAATGCGGTCAAAGCTGCATGCCGTCGATTCGTTTTGACTGCGTCTTGTGACCGGCCCAGGCGGGTGAAGGGAGTGTGCGGTAAACTACTGCGAGTCTACATTCAGTTACAATTAATTCCAGTTTTGCGTCATGCTCCGAGCACGAAACTGTTTGGAGCACATAGTGGACTTCATCGAAATCGGTGGTCGAACTATAGTCATCAAGGTAAATTTCCGACAGCATTTTTTCTGCGGTCCATATATTCTGTGTCAATGGGAAATTACAATCATTCCGTTTTGTACTTTCACCGTTCATTAGTTATTATACAATCCTTGATACAATCACAAGCAACATTCACATCAACTTTAACGAAAGTTTACAAAATATATAAAGCGATCTCAATATTACATTCCATGACACTCAAAAAACACACAATTGGATAAAAAAAAATGAAAAAAAAACTACCAAAGTGTGTTTTACTCTATCGATATTAAAGGTTAACTTTGAGTATAAATGCGTGCGTTATTATGAAGTGGAACAAGTGGCCAAATTGCTCGACGCCGACAAACTTGCAAAATGATCGAGGAAATAGGTAAAGATCTACATGCCATCCTAACTCTTTTGTAGATATGGAAATTCCAGAGGAAAACGATCCGGAGGTTTTCGACCCGGAATGTGATCCTGCTAATCCCCGAGCAATTAATTTCTCTCAAGTACTGGAAGCGGCCGAACGTATAAAAGGGACGATACAAAGAACAACCTGCACTGTAAGGAAATTTTCTGAAGGTGCATTTGTAGCGATCGCGTTTGTCAGATCGGTATGGCGTGGAATTGTACTTTAAGAAGGAGTTCGAACACATAACCGGGAGTTTCAAGGAACGTGGAGCTTGTAACACTCTTAGTGCATTTACGGCTGTAAGTCAATAATTTTTGACCTCCACGTTATGCAACATATACATTTATTCGTCGTTATGCCTTTGAATTTTTCCATTTAGTTATATCTGAAAATGTTTGCCTTTTCCTCTAAAGGTCGAGCATTATACTATGCGATATGGTTGGTTTAGAATGTTCACACTCCTCTTATAATTGATACCATGGGGTACATTCAAGTGTATAAAATAAGATGTAAAATTAGGAAATATCTATTACTCCGTACGGAGTAATAGATATCAACTTTGATATAGTGGCCATGAAGGCATATGCGTTGAGATATCTCAAGATATATTTCAGTGTGTAGCCTCTCTGTCTGTATAACCCATCCTGTCCATAGTGTCTACAAGCAGAAAATTATAAACTACGTTGAATTCAATTTTACGTACCATCGATAATCTCAAACTACCCAGCTGGAATTATACAAACGTGTGTTCAGCCACTTTCGTGACGAGTTTGTGATACGCAGCATATCATATGCAATTGTTTTCTATTCGAACAATACCTTTCAATTTCCACCCATTTTAGGATCAAAAACGTATAGGAGCCATTTCTGCAAGCACTGGCAACCATTCATCTGCAATGGCTTGCCATGCAGGAAAACTAGGCATACCCGTGACGGTTGTCATGCCTACTATAACACCACTTCCGAAAATCAACAATTGTCTCGCTTTTGGAGCAAAAATCATATTAAAAGGAAAGAGCATAAGTGAAGTAAGTTGCTGCCTGTGTGCTTTTTAGATGCGTTATCTAAAATTGCACTTGTGAAAGAATTTTACCATGCAGAAATGGTAATTGAATATCAAGTCAAAATTGAGTGATATTTAATATTTCAGGCTCGACGAGTTGCATTGAAACTTGCTCATCAACACGGCTACACTTACAT